GGAGGAACGCGCAAGCAGCGGCGGACCTGATACCTCGACGCGCGCGCCAGCGTGGCCAAAGACCTTGCGCAGGTAGACGTTCGGGCTGGACGCGCGCAGCTGCTGCATCCAGTACCTGGCAGAGGAGACGCGCGAGGCACATCATCGCCACACCGCCGGGCGGCAGCCACAACGCCGCCGCCACGCACCAGATGTCGCCGCGCGAGAGATACTGGTCGCGAAACACCATCTCGACCCACTCGAGCTCCGCCGCCGCCGCCGGCACCACAATGACCTCGACACTCTGCCGCGAAGAGAGGCCAAAGAGCGACGCCGTTGCCGCGAGGAGCGAGACGCCCTGGGAGCCCTTGCCGGGCGCCGCAGAGCCGACGCGTAAAACGAGAGCGCCGCGATCCTCGGCGCCGCCAGTCGCCGCGGCCGTCGCCGGACCCGTCGGCGACGACGACGATGGAGACGCGCTGCCAGAGGGTGAGCCGGCCGGCGGCGAGATGCCTGCGTCGCTTACAGCGCGTACCTCAACGTACGCGCCGCGCGATATGCGCATGTCATCTAGCCGCTCCTGTGAGAGCAGCAGCTCCTCCTCCGACTGCTCTGCGGTGTGGAGCGCAAGCTCAGCGAGCTTTGCCGCGGACGCCATCGCGAAGAATTTGAACCGCGGAGCTGGGAAGCGGACCGCCGCAAGCGGCGTGGCGTGGAGCGGTTGAGCATCCCTCCGGGGCCGGGGAGGCTTTGTTGGAGGCTAGGACGCAACCCTTTTCAAACTCGGGGCCCACTCCGCTACGCTCCGACCCGAGTAGCTCTTTGTGTTGCGATGCTTCCTGGCGAGAGAGTGCTGGGCTTTCCGGCCCACACTCGGCTCTTGAGGCATTTATCGGCATCTTAATATGCCGTAGGGACACACAGCAAGGAGTAGTGTCTACGCGCGCACACGCCCGAGTGCCAATTTGGCTACGGGTTAGGGTTGCGTTGTCCTAACGCCTCCGTCCGTCCTGGACGGGCGTTGGCGCGTGCATATCCCACCGCTAGCTAGCGACACTACTGCTAATGCTGGCCTCGTCCCCTCAAGTCGAGCAGCTTGGCCTTGCCATACGGTTCGACTGCTCAGACATTGGAGGAGATAAGGGGATGGTGGTGGGTAGAAGAATGCGGAACGAGCAGCCAAAAGCAGTCGCGCGAGTCAGAGTCGGGCACGAGACGTCGAGCATTGAAACCATCCGTAAAGGTTTCGTGCGACCGTCCCCAGTACAGGATTCCCCTGTACAGGGTGTGAACATCGTGCACTCGATGGTTTTCCCCGGCCCATGCCGGGTACTCTCCAGTCGAATCTTGTCCATCAACTCGCTCGAGATCGCCCGAGATCGCCCGAGATCGCGATCTCGCCTCGAGGTGAAGGGAGAGTAGGTGGCGGCGGCGCTGCCATCGCGCCCCACGCCTCGCCAGAGCCTCGAGATGAAGGGAAGGACATGAACCAACTCTTGGCCTACGTTCAGAAGAAGCACCTTCGCGAAATGAACGAAGCTGCGCTGATGCATCGCCGCCTCATGATCGGGGCTGGGCTGGTGATACTCACCCTCTTCGCAATCCTTGGCGCCATCGTGGTGTCTCGCTAGTACTTGTGTGCTCACACCACTGTGGGTGGTGCCCGAGCATGATGTATGTGCGCGTCTG